ACACTGAACTTTATCTTAATTTGTTTGTCTGAATTATTCTTGGATTCTTAAACAGCCTGGCACGGAGTATGGGGTTGGACCTACAGTATATAGACCCTATAATTCTATAATTACAGTGAGAAACTCATGCAGAGAGACCTTTCTCAGTGCTGTTCCCTAAGTGGGTTTTAACTAGTGGTATCTGAGTCTGAACTGTTGGAAGACCTAAAAGACCAGGTTAAGAACAGATCGTCATGGAGAAAATCTATGCGGTCAGTCAATTGACACCAACTTGATGGTACATAATCAGTCGATTGATTGATTGATTGATTGATTGATCTGGGAATGAACCTGGGAAGAGCTTCTGATGGGGAACCAATATTCTGGTAGTGAATGTTGACATTCCTAGAGAAGCCTGCTGGTTTCAGGAGTGGTTATATATCTTCACTTGCCTATGGTATAGCCTGAAACGAGGGAAGTATTCTGGTTCTATTGAAATCAGAGGAATCACTTCTGCATTTTCATTTCTGCAAGTGTATCAGTATATACGCATCCACCACAAATCAGATTTCTCTTTTACCTTTTTGAGTGATGCAGGGCTTCCTTTTAGACTAAACATAAGTGATCAAAGGGTGACTTTAGGAATTCCTGTTCCGGACTTTAGGGTTTTGCCCTCATTTGGAAATACAGGTAGTCCCTGCTTAATGACCATTCGTTCAGCGCCCATTCGAAGTTACAATGGTGCTAAAAAGGTGACTTATGACTGGTGCCCAAAGTTATGACTGTTGCAGCACCCTCATGGTCACGCGATCGTGATCCGGGCACTTGGCAACCAGCTCGCCCTTATGATGATTGCAACATCCCAGGGTAACATGATCACCATTTGCGACCTTCCCAGCTGGCTTCCGGCAAGCAAAATCAATCAGTGTGATTAACTAACAACTGTGGTGATTTGCTTAACGATGCCACCAAAAAAGTTATAAAATTAGGCCTGGTCACATGATGATTTGCTTAGCGACCGCATTGCTTAATAATCTAAATTCTGGTCCCAATTGTCATTAAGCGAGGACTACCTGTATGACAACCTTGCTTTGCCCAGAGTCCACTACTTGATTTGCTCAAGTGTCAGTGCTGTTCTGCAGGGATCACAGAAACAATCAGGAGGATCCCCTGGAAATCATGTAGTCCCACCCTTTGCTTCAAGTAGCACCTGTCACAGGTGGCTTCCCAGCCTCTGTTTAAATTTGACCAGTGAAAGAAAACCTACCATCTGCCACAGTGATGTTTTCTTCTGCTGAATGGCTTGCAAGAAGGTTTCCTAATGAGCTAGTCTGAAATTCATTTCTATCCACTTTTGTGTGGTGAAGGATGATTCTGTAGATACTCACCTGGAAGTTACCCCTGTTGAACCCAGGAGGATTTCTTTAAGGACTTGCCACATTTTTACATGCTGGGTATATACATAATATTTGTGCATGTGGGGGTGTGGGTGTCTTTGTATATGAACAAAGTCTTATATTATCACCTAATCTCTTGCAGTCCTTTCCGTGAGATCTCACATGAGTAACACCAAGATCTCATGAGATTTTGGCTGCTTTTTAAATGTAATTATTACGTTAGGGTAAATGTAATATTTCCTGTTAGGGATTTTGGACACTGTTATGGTAGGAACCTGAGCATCTGCATACCTGTGGATTCTGAATAATTTCTTAGTATGGATATCAAACCCTGCACCAAATCGAAGATAAATCTAGAGAGCTTTCCAAAACCTTGCAGTCCATCTATAGGGCATTGCAGACTTCAAACATTTTCTTCCAAGATGAAGCCTTTTCTTATTATTCCACTCACAAATTTCCCATGAATTCTCTTTCCTCAGCTTGGTTGTGCTGGCTATAAAATGAAAAGGGAGACCTACAAAAAAGTAGATTGGAAAGTAGAAAGATTGGCTCTGAAAGTTGTCTGTAGCCAGAGGAGAAGCAAAGCCTGGAGGCCCTGGATAGTATTCTTACTTCCTCAGAGGAAAAGTGATTGTGTTCCTGTTTTTATTTTTATATTTTATATTTTATTTTATTAAATTCTAAGGTGACCTCTGGTTGCTTCTGCTTCTGGAAAGGCTTGCTTGTTATTTGAACAATCTCATGGATTGACAGAAAATGAGCTAGCCACGCTCACATTCCCAGCAACTGACTAGGCTGGCATTCCCCTCCACTACTGTTGGGAAAACAATAAATAGTGTGGTTTTTTTTTAAAGTAATTTAAAAGTGTATTGCTTAAGTGGCATTGAGAAATGAGCATTTGGTGCCACCTAGAGTTGGGAAGGGAAAATAAACCCTGCTAGAAGCTTTATATGGATTACAAATGCTTTGGGCAAAAATGGCAGCCAACCCCTTTTTGTTGAGTACAGTAGGTTAGAGCCAAAAGCAAAAACCACTGTATGTTGGCCATGCTTACTGAGAATTCTGGGAGCTGATGTGTTGGGACTCCAGTTCCCAGAATTCCACAGCCCATGAGCATTGGCTATCTCTAGCTAGAATTCTGGGAGTGGTTATCCTCAGACTCCAACCCCCAGAATTCCCCAGCTAGTATAGGTCTGGGCCATGTTGACTGGGACTTCTGGGACTTCAAGCCCTAAGACTTCTATTTTGGACCTTCCTGATATTTTTGTTTGTTCGTTTAGCCCCCAAAAGATTTGGAAATCTGAAATTATGAATAACATGTTGCACCCCTTACTTCTGTCTTCCAGACCCTGGTGATTTAGGTGTCCATGAGAGAAATGATCCCCTTTTTGCTTTAGATGAGCCTCCCACTGGCTTACATCTACCTGTTGGAAGTTTACATTTTTTAGAACATTCTTTTTATATTTGTTCACACAAGGGAATATGGAGCACCTTGACGGTTCCTTCAAGCTCAAGATTTTAGCTGCCTCCCCACTGGGATTATTTTTAGGCACCTAAATCTGCATCTAATAATTGCCTGTTGGAGTGGAGATGGAGGGTTTAGGGACATGCCAGCCTAAATAGTTGATTTCTGGAATGAGAACTCCAGGAACAGCATGGTCTTGAATATATACCCTCCATATGATCTGGGCAACTAGCCCAGCGTTCAGATTTCTTTTAAGATCACATTCATTGTTCACTTTTAGTGCTGCAAATGGTACCCAGCAAGGTATTCCCCCCCCCCCCACGGAATGGGCTGGGGGAATGGTCTGTGTTTTCTGCAGAGAGTGTTCCTACCAGCATTCCTTTTGCAGGGTAGAAAACTCCCCTTGTTTGTACTTTTTGGAGCATGAAGGTGGTTAAGGACAAACTGGGACTCTAAACCTTGCAGAGGATTAAGGCACCCACTTCACCGCTTAAAACCTCCAGCTCCTTTTCCCCCAGAGGATCCTGTCCCCATCCTCTTCTGGAGTACAGCTTTTGATGTGCTGTGCAAAGCTAGGTGTGAGCCTCGGGGTGATAAAAACGGCGCTCCCAGGGTAGAAAGTTAGTTGATTCACATACAGTACCAGAAAGTCCAAGTGAACCACCTAAAGTCGCCTCATTTGTTTCAATCTCAATGGCCCTCTGACTTGAAAAAGTCAAAGTCATTCACATCAACTAATAGGTTGACTTTTTAAAATCTTATTTTCCTAGATTTCCCCCAGGGATCTCCACAAACGGTACGAAGAGATATCGGTTTGTCTGTAACACACAGGTAAGTATTTCAGAAGGTTGATCAGAGCGCAAGTCCGATCAGCCTCAGTGAAGGGTTGATTTGGATTTCCTGCAAGCCCTTGGATGACCTGGCTGGGGCTGGAATAATTTCCCCAGTTCAGTTACTGTTGAATGAGGTGGGAGGAGGAGAAGAGTTTGAATTAATAAGAGCCCCTTAAGAAAACCGACCTGTACAAGCATCGTCGTCTTAGAGACAGACTCCATAGATTTGGCTATGATTTTCATCAAGCCTAGCCAAAGACATCTAGAGGACACCCGCTCACTAATTAGGCTGGGGGGGAGGAATGGGGGGTTAGTCAACCCAGATAGATGCTATATTTCAAAACCCATCAGCCAAAGCTTGTATGGGGAATTGTCTGGAATTGTGAGATTGATAGTCCAACATATGAGATGGTCAGCAAGTTGCCTCTCCTGTTCTAAGCAAAGCTTTAGATGCTTTCTACCAAACCTAAGTATACAGATTCAGGGACTTTGAAGTAGTTGCAAAGGATTCTGGTCTTCTTTTTTTTCTTTTTTCTTTTTTGCAATTTGGATTTAGTGGTACTTACACTGGGGTTCCTTTCAAAAAGAGGACTCCTCATACATTCTGCATTTCACAGTTACTCTTTCCTTGTTTAATGGGTCTTTTTTGTTAAGTCTCTGCCTCTAGCAACAACCACAAAAGCAATGGTGGAGAAAACTTGGCAGGGTTGCCAATGGAGGAATTTCCATTTAGAACCTCTATGACAGTGTTCCTCAACCTTGGCAACTGGAAGATGGGTGGACGTCAACTCACAGAATTCTGGGAGTTGAAGTCCACAATCTTCAAGAATTCTGGGAGTTGAAGTCCATAATCTTCAAGCTGCCAAGGTTGGGAAACACTGCTCTGTAAGAACCTGTGAAATAAGGCAGGGTGATGCTAAGGTAAAGTCTCATCTAGAAGACCTGCTTATTGGGAGTTTTCAGGTGTGTTGTGACAGTTTCAGATACAGTTGTCCTCTGCTTGGAATACTCCCATCCTTTACCACTTTGGTTTTCTTTCTAAGGAAAGGGGGGTGGGGGTGGGACTGGATAACAGCTTTGGTTGGTTAGTTTGGCATTAAAAATCCTACCTGAAAGCACCCAGTATAAGAATATGGAGATGCATCCCTGAAAACTTTGCAACATTACAGAGGATCCTGGGTGGTTTGTTCAGTTTGCATACAAAGATGGTTATATCAGTAACAAGATACATGCCCAAACTTAACTACTATACAGCATTTGGTTGTTGATCATGAACACTCTAATATCCAACGTGGTAGATTTGACTTTGATTCTATAACATCCACAGAGCTATAATTTCTAGTGGTCTTTTTCTTTCCCTTCTCTGCCTACTACTCTAAAATATTAGGTCTTCTGCAGGGAAGGCATGGAGCCAAAGCATTCCCCAGGGAATTTAGCCACACAACATTTTGACAAGTGACCTCGTAGCTTGATTGTATACCTTTCACCAATGATACTGTTTTCTTTAATACAATGTCTTCTTTTATACCTGCGTTCTGTTTCGTCTCATTCAGGTTTTCTACCAAATCCTGGCTCTCTCAGGTGTGCCAAGTGTGTCAAAAAAGCATGATGTTTGGAGTAAAATGTAAACACTGCAGGTAAGCAAGTGATAATGGCATTCCCCTTTTGGTTAAAAGTTATAGTCTATAAAAATATAGCAAGCAAATAGAGAATGCTAGCAGAGATTTGCCTGGGGAGTTCAACAGAAAGAAAGGAGGAAAATGACTAAAGAACCTGCATATTCTGAAATATTGCACACTCAGCTGTAGAGCAGAAAAGGTCATCCCCTGAATAGCTGTTGATTACAAAGGCTGTGGTGTAAAAACTGCTGATTGCCCACTATGAGTGATTAAATGACTACTTCCTGCTGAGTAAGCAAAGATTGTAAGAGGAATATAAGGCAGCAGGTTCCAAAGATCACTCACATGTTGAGTGAGCAAGTGAATGGGAGTTTTGGGGGGAATCCCAAAATTTTCCTTCTTAAGTCAAGAGTTTGTATTTTGCTAAGTGAGAGCCTGGAAAGAGAATAAGAAATAAAAGCTTTTTTTTTTTTTTAACTAAAAATGCCTTGAATAGAAAAAGTGATGGACTGGAGTCTGTAATTGTAACCAACAGTGTTTATGGCATGTTTGACATTCTGCCTGAGAACAGTCAGAAGTGAATGAGTCACTGAATGACCACAATGATTTATCAGTTCAAAGAAAGAAGTCTCTGCTATAGAAAATGGCTGTGAAGCACCTTAAGGAAAATGGTCAAACAGGGAATAAGATCCCTGGATGAGAATAACAACTAGAAGCAAGAGGTGCAGAAGATACTCTGTGCTGCTGTGGAACTCAGAAAAGTCTCTGAGCATTCAAGGGAAGAAGAAGAGAAATTCAAAATAGGAATATAGGAGGGTTGATTCCTAAAGGGTGGAGAGGATGCAGTTGTACCCTACAAGAAGTCAAAGAGAAGAGTCATTGTAGTTGTGATACTATGAGGAATTGAAACGAAGATATACTGACTGGACCCACCCACTCATGAAGAATGCTATCTGCAAGAAGAAAGAATCCAGGTATATGCAGAACAACATCCAAGATATATCAAGTCCACTGACAAGTATTCCTGTGAAGGATGGTTGGATGAAGGCCGTGCTCGGGAGATAAGCATTCCCTTAGCCCCCAACAGGAGCGTGGGAAGTTTAAGAAGATGAGACTG